TGTTCTCGTATTAAATGTTCTCAGACGAAACATTCTGGGTTCGCAGCAATCCCCAGTGATAGGGATTTCTACAGCTGTTGATGTTACACGTTGACTGCGTGTGTCCGTCCGCTAGGAGTGCACGTTCTAGAATATTTAATAATTGTGGAGGATCAAGCATGTTTTGTCTGAAGGCCAAGACGCTAATAAAAATATTACATAATGGCTCGGTTTATCCATTAAGAATTGAACGAAGATAAATTAAAAATTACGAGTAGTGAAGCATCAGGCGAGAGGTAGTCGTAACTAAGAACTATAGGCTGTGGTGAAAGCTCATAATGACCTACATTACTAGGATGAGCCGATCACCAGCCATGAGACTCGCCGCCGGCGCCACTGGTACAGCAGGCCGCACACGGGTTTGTTCTCTGGAAAACTTCAGATTCTGAGCAACCATCAGCTCAAATCCTCGCAGTTTTGTGAGGAACAACCCATCAATACCCAGACTCATAGCTGTTGATGTAACATGTTGACTGTATTCATGTGTGTCCGACCGCCAGGAGTGCGTGCCGCACTATTGTTTGGAAGGAACGTTGCAGATTTCTTCTGCAATTCTTGGATAAATACCGTTGTTGACTATCTGTTGTCCACCTGTCTAGATTTTCGCACACCCCAGTACGCAGGCGACCCACAGTTATCATAGTGGTCTGGTCACCCGGCTTCAATGATCTTGTATTTTCGTGTGTGTGAGGGCCTTATCACTGAGCAGGTCGATACCCTGTGGGCAGTGCCTCAATGACACACTTAAATGGTGTACTGAGGAAACAGTAAAGGTAGACCAAGCTGCTCAACTAGGTGTTAGGTATCCTTGATTCCACCTGGGAAAACCATTTTACGACATCCATTGAAGGGAAATAAATTTATCCAGACCTTGGAGTGTCTCGGGCGGGCATTAGGTAGGAATGTGACTCGGCTCTCACTACTGGGAGACGTCAAAAGAAAGTCGAGGAGAAAGAGGAAATGGAAGCAGTTTTCAGACAACGAGGGACAATACACCGACGTACAGAAAGTAGAGAAGAGAACTGCTATCGAGGCTACACAAAGTACTTCTCTCAGCAAGAATCCAGACATAATGTACCTAGAGAGGACAGCACCAGTCACACACCAGCCTGTGTCAGACTCTGCACATCTTCCCAAATTGCAGACTTAAAATTCAAAAACTCCAAAATTCATAATACAGATAGACAACTTTCCTACAGCATATGGCGTAGTAACTGATATGGAAAAGAGGCAACCAGAGTTCAAACTTTCCATCACTGTCAACGTGCAAGGATAAATTATGACACAACCAAACCAAATGACTGCAAATTACCTAGAAACGGTAACATTCCCGCAAAGAAAACCTGAATGCTTCGAAAAGCTGGACCCTTCAGAAAGACGCACAAGAGTCGTGCTGTTGGGATATCCAGTCCACTTTCCACTGGATCCAAAACTAGAACACATGCAAATCTTGAATGGAAAAAGGGTGCCACACAAAAACAGACAAAGCAGTGACATGTCAGATTCTCGCGACTGTTATGGAACATGCGCCAGAAACGTTGTCCTGAAAATTAGGGAATATATTGAAAGACCATGGTGACTGCGCTACTTCGGGTGTCAGAAATACGGCCACCATCAAACACGCTGCACCGGGCAGGAGAGATGACAGCCAAGCACAAGGTAAACCAGACCACAACCACCAAGGGCCAAGTGACGAGGATTCGAACCTGACTCAAAGAGCAACCCAGATGCTGCCTTAACCGACTGAGCTACGACATGGTAAAAGGAGTTGAAACCGAAGTTCTACTGAACTTACTGGATCCTGCAGCCTTTTGGTTTGTGGATTTGTTCATTTGATGCATCACGCAATTGTGATTTGTGTGTGTAATTCTTGTGCAAAACGGTGCCGCACAAAAATGGACTGGTGACACGTCAGGTTCTGGTGACTGTTATGGGACATGTGCCAAAAACGTTCAATCTTGGAAATTAGGGAATATATTGACCGTCCATACGTCCTGGAACCCCTGCGCTGCTTCAAGTGTCAGAAATTACGGCCACCATCAAACACGCTTCACCGGGCAGGAGAGATGCGGAGATGGTTGGATGCCTGAGGCATCCAACCAAAAACTGTAAGGCTAAGCACAAGGGAAACCAGACCTCAACAGCCAAATGTCCAAGTTGAGGATGAAATATTATTCCTGGAGAACAACTACATGGAAAGTAAAGGTGCAGACAGATTAGGTCAGGATAATCACAGACCAGCAGAACATAAACCAGCATCGTCTGGAACACTTGTGCACAGCCACAACAGATTCCAACGCTCATAGAACACAATTCATCACACAACTCAAGCAACTCCAAATCAGAAAACTCACAAATCCATACAGAAATACAACATGGAAAGAAAATACAATCACTTTCGGAGTCAACAAAACAGATTTACAGTTATATGGAGGTCCAGCTAAAGACATTGAAGATTTTTGCAAAGATTATTAAAAATTGCATACAGATGACGCAGAATGCCTCGCAACAAGACTCGAGCAATCGTTTGTGTAATAATGGAGAAGATCATGCAGCAGACCAGTTAAACAAACAGTACAAAACAAGACGGAGCACAAGAGGACAAACACATGGACATACAAACTACCACTAACAGTCGGGTAGTCACATCAGACCATAAAGATCCCCAAAAGCAACTGCAGGAAGCAGTGGCGAATCAAGATCAACGGAATCTTGTAATACACCCATGAACAATCAATTCAGTCCGATTTGCAGCGACACTGCTAGCGAAGTGGAGACTGGTTGTTGATTCCGAAGAGGAGTTCTACTAGGAAAGGCAACACCAACAGAAACCGTTATCTGTTCATTACGAATTCTGCATTGGAACAAACAATGTCTTGGAAATAAAAAATCACTTCTGTAAGCTGCAATCGGTGCAAAAGCAGCAGTTTTGCATGAATCTGTCTACCCAGCCATAAAATCCTTCAAATTAGCTGGATATCAATGTATTATACCGCATGAACAAAGGACACTAAGGGTTAATGATCCTTGTCACGTAACACTATATTATGCAAGAAAATAGACCCAGATTCGTGTGGTGATGAGTAGAGGTATTAGCAGTAACAGTGAATATGGCTGCTATTGAGCTCCTCGTATGTAACGTCTAAAAGCCCCTATATTTAAACTAGCAGAGGAAGTGCTTGCCATGGATATGCATGATATAATTATTACCTGGGATTTTAATGCTTATAATCACTAGGTAGGCGTGACTGGGCCAGCCAATGCAGATGAGCCATTTAGCTAAAGTTCTGAGAAGTACCCGAGATTACACTTCTTAACCCTGGAGAATCCCCCCCCCCCCATTCAAGGAGGTTCTAAAGTTAATTGCAACTGCATTCAAGCATCAGGCGAAGTGTGAAGTAGACCTGGTGATCTCCAGTGACCACTATGCTACTATCACAACACTAAACATAAAGATCTCCAACACCACCCACACACAACCTACGTTGAATGTAATAAAGGCCAACTGGAATATATACCAGAACGAGCTTGAAAATGGCCTACTACATACTCTCCACCTAAGGATTTGGACACGAGACCAATCTCCAGGAAGCCATTACAGCTGCTGAAACAGCTATTCCAGGAAACACAAAACGAAAGAACTATAGGTTCTACGGTAGTGAAGTTAGAGAACAAAACACCAGAGTCAACAATAAATCTCTAGAGAAACTGCACACATGAAAGAATAACTCTGCTAAGAGCAGTGATATATGAAGCTAGAATAGTTTCTAAATTGTTTGGAGGCAAGATGGTTTGAGTAGTGTCACTCTAAATTAACATAGGTTTTTGAAAGATATGTTGATATTAAAACAACGTTTGGTAGACCACCTCGACATCATGCATATATTTAACCATTGTAGGAGGCGGAGTGACTTGATGTCCAGCTTGTGGGAGAAGTTTCATACCAGCTTCCTGCAATGGTTAGAAGGCAGAAAGGAAAAACAGAAGTTAACGGCCATTCGATAGAGCATAGCTACAAATGACGAATGTGAATTTACTAAACAAGAACTAATCAGAGCCAAAAAAGGTGGCAATGACCTGCACAAGGTGCTGATAACATTACATACTCTGTGATCGCACACGCAGGTCCTGCTGGAGAAAAAGGGATTTTGTTCGTTATCAATAAATCTTGGGAGCTCGGCAAACTACCGACGTCTTGGATGAAAGCAGACATCATTCCGATTACTAAACCGAAAGACAATGGCAATCAGACCCATTTCATTAACATAATGTATTAGTAAAATTGCATAAATTATGGTCTTAGAGGCTACTGTGAAAGACGGGAGACCTGCCTAAGAATATATATAATTTTACTAGAGTTGGTACTAGAAACTGCATAAAAACATTAGTAGGAAGTCAACTCTGGTTCGGTAATAGTGATCTTCCCTGATCTAGAAAAAAGCATTTGAACTGGGAGGCCAACTAGCATTAATACACATGTTAATTATAAGTGTCAGAGAAAAATACTAGCATGGACTCAAGGTTCTTAGTCACAGGTATGCCAGAGTAAAGCTGAAAGGCCAAGAGTCAGAGTACACTTGTATGAGAATGGAACTCCACAAGCAATACATGACACATACCCAAGGCAAGAAACACAAGGCATTAATAACAGAAAACAGAACCACTCAGGGAACTGAAAATACACAAAAACAAAAAGCACAAAAAACATGCAAATGACCAAAGGGCCGTAAGGACAAATACATAAAATACTGCCATGCATAAGACACACACATCTGCAAGTATAAAACCACACCCAACCACACAGCCAATCACACAGAATATGCAATACAAACACACTCAAACCCAGAAAAAAAACGGAACACGCAGGAACCGGAAAACACATCCCCCCCGGCTCAAGCACACACATGCAACCCCACCCCACACCCATGCACCCAAGCGTGCGCAACACCACAACACACGAGTCAAACAGGAGGATATTTCTCAGGGTATGTAAACTGCGGATACCTCCGCTTATAAGCCTCACATATCAGATACTCCTGGGTCATAGGGGCACGGCCCACACGATATCGCGGGTACTCCATTAACTCGGGGACCACCACATCCGGCAGAGGCGGTCGCCTCCAAGCACAGGACACCGAAGACGAAGAACCCGACACGGGAGGCAGTGACATCGCCGCCGAGGAAGCAGGAGATACCAGTAGAGTGGGCGAAGGCCGCACTTCGGGCCGCACACTAGGGTGCACACGTCGTTCCACATCGGGCACCGCACCGAACCCCGCGGAGGGTGGTTCTGCAGGCGCCCCAGGGCCCCCGCCAACCAGAACAGGAGCAGAGTCCCCCCGCCGCACATCCTTTGACAACACCACGACGGGGTCGCGGTCACCAAGGGCAACCGCCCACTGAGGAGAGCCTCCAGCAGGGGCCACAGTGTCCAACACAGAAGGCACCACAGGAGGCGGCAGAACGTCACTCAAATCATCCAACGCATCACGCTCCTCTGCCCACGTCCGGCGAGGTGACGCATCCCGAGCCGAACGACGGCTCTTAGAAATAGGCCGTTCATCGTCGGAACTGTTACCAGGGGGTAACAGTTCCGACGATGAACGGCCTGTGTTTGCAGGGGCAAGCGGTGCCCCAGAAGAACCATCGGCAGGCGGCCCCAAAGCCGGGGCAGCTCGATCACGCAGAACTGCAGCCTCAACGATGCGGGGCAAAAAGCCACCACCATCCAAGGAGACCGGATTCGGAGAAGGAAGACACACAGCAGGCAGAAGGGTAGACTCCAGCACACGTGAGGTATCCAGCGATGGCAACGGTACCGGCAGAGGATGAGGCATGTGATAACGAGGAAACTACCAGAGGCGATGAGGCAGAGGGCATGGGCGGAGTCGCGCACACTGCCCCGCCAGCCCCGGGAAGCACATGTCCTTCTGCAGGAGATGCAGGCACCACCCCTTCAGCACCATCCAATGCCATCATGGAAGCAACCGGATGCAGATGCACCTCCGCATCCACCGCACGGCGAAGGTCCGAAGCAGGTGCCCCTAGGTCCTCGGAGCTTACCAGTGGGGCAGACAGATCAGGGCCAGACGGAGCGACAGCTGGAACCGCAGCAGGAACCACACCAGGCACCTGCGCAGAGCAAGGATCTGCCGGGGAATCCCCACGCACAGACAAGCGGGGAAGTCATCTTTCAGGAAAACTGAAGGGGCCCTCGGCATGAGGAGCGTCGCAGCCGGCCGCCACATAGCCCTCAGCACCACACCGGAAACAATTGCGTGTTTGACCCTGATAAAATACCCGCAGAGAGAGAGCCCATGAAACGAAACCCTGGAAGGAATAGGGCTCGTGACCCGCATAACGAGTGTACGTGCACCCAGACGGACCCCTTTCAGCTGACCACCACCCAAAGTGGTAAACCGGTGCTTCACCACCACACCAAACTGCGTAAACACCGACATGAACTCCGCCTCGGGGAAGGTCACCGGCACCCCGTGAACACTCAAAAAGTCGAGGGCCCCCAGGGATCAGAGATCTCCACAGCCGAAGCAGGAAGAAGCGGCGAGCGTGCATCCCAGCATGCCACAAACTCCTGGTAAAGAAGCGATGTGGCAAATGACACCGCCACATGGGTAGGCAATATCTTTTCTAGCCCCAGAAGATCAGAGACGTTTACACGGAGCACATCCTCTAGAGCAATCTCCACAATGGGCCAGTCCACTGCACCAGAAAATTCCAGCTGTTCAGTATCCACCCGTCGAACACGGCCACCTCCGGCCACCTCCATACCGCCAGCTGGAGCCCCGGCTTGTGAGCGCTCCACACCTCCAACAACCAACGACCACGCAGCAATGGCCAACGACGACTGGCTGCTCTGGCCTGACGTCTGCACCCCTCTGGCGGTGGAGCAGGAAATCACCCCACGAGTCGTCGTCCTGAGTTCTATTCTTTTTTAACATCCATATAGAAAACCTCGTTAACTTGACATTTGTCAGACTTAATTGCTTTGCCAATGATATAAGTCGTCGTCACAGGTCCTTCACTTTTTAATAAAGCACAAGTGGCGCTAAATAAAGTAATATCTGAATGCAGCATTTTATGACTAAAAATATTTGCACACAAATCTAGGGCAATGAAACTAGGTGACTGCACTCCAGAATGCACTGTATTAAGACCAAAAAACATAAAAACGGCGCCTTTCAAATGAAGTAGGCTAAAAGACTCCAAAGCCCCCAGGTGGGGATGGAATTCAATCCAAAGTCTTAATGGAACTGACAGAAGAACTATGCCTACCGCTGAACTACTTGACATAATCTCTGGACCATAGGGTAGTCCCTCTAGATTGGAAATATGGAAATGTTACCCCTATTTTCAAGAAAGGCAGAAAGAGCTCAGTATAAAACTACCAGCCGATCAGCGTGACATCACACATCAGCAAGCACATGGAGAGAATCCTCAAGGAGGAAATAAATCACCATTGCAATCTTGTACAATCAACACAACATGGATTGTTAAACAGATTGTGTCTTGCAAACTTGCTCACATTTTTGGAAATGGTAACCAGTGACTCGGACCTTCCAGTGACCTTCTGATAAGGGAACAAGGTAATGGTTCAACTGTAAATCTCTGGTGTGCCCCCATTTGGATTACTGTATGCAAGTATGGAGAGTCATTTTCAGAAGGACATAGCTGCTCTGGAGGAGGTGCATCATTGGGCAACAAGTCATTCCTAACCCGTCCTCTTAATATTTCTTCACTTTTCCAACTTTTGGCTGTAAGGCCAAAAATGGACGTAATTTGAAATGAGCTTCACGAGAGTGATGTACTGTCCCGTTTTCTGTTTTGAGTCGTCCGGCTTACTCAGATTGAGAGGAAACTTTTGATTAACGGTTTTCATGACGTTTTGAAACCTTAGAAGATCTTCCTGCCCTTCTAACTTACCAGAGGACCCATAACTTGCTGTTTTGGCAAACAAAAATCCAAAATTTATCTTCAATTATTTTTTATTTGCAAATTACGTCCATTTTCGGCGATATAAACGGCCAAATTCAGATGTAATTGGTAAGAAGACAGGTTGTGCCAGTCATCTCTCACATCAGGAACGTTTGAAGGCCACAGGGCTAACACTGCAAACCAGGCATTACAGGGCGGATCTCATTGAAACTTTAAAAATACTGAACAGGTTAGAGGATGTAGAATCAGGATAGTTTCATCAGACGGTCAGATGTATCACAAACAAAGAGCAGCGGTTTCAAGCTCAACCATCCACACTGTAGGACTGAGAACAGGAGATGCTTTTTCACCTACACTTCACATTAACCCATGGAAACGCCTACCCGCCGTAATTGCCAATTTTTTTTTAATGTACGTGGAAAACATCGTAAAGGCAAATAGTGGGGACCCTCAACATGCCACCGGCTTGCTGTGCTCTTCGAGGCCACTAGGGTTAGTGGTCCTCTGGTAAATCAGGCACCTTGTTAATTCAAGACTTTAACCTACAGTGGCTTACTCGATGCCAATATCTTGGAGTATGGATTGATTCTAAGATGACTTTCAAACAGGAAATTCAATACGAGAGGAAAAACTGCAACTGAATGATAGCAATCACAGGGCTCCGTCTAGGAACAGGACAGTACTAATGTTTTACATGCCTTATGCACTCTTTCTCCTGGCCATTGGGCATATGTTCTGGTTATGGAAAACAAAGCAATGCAAGACACAACGGGCTCCCAGATGTACGAAAATATTATGCCCAAGACTTAATATTAAGTCTTAGGCTTAATATAATACTTACGTAATATAATATTTATCAACTGGGTGCCAAGTCATGTAAGAATACTGGGGGAATGCCTTTGTAGATGAAGCTGCAAAACTTGTAACCAAGAGAAAACATGTAAACATTTATATACCAGAATATAGCATGGAATAAGCAAATAATTGAGAGACGAATGCAGATGTAGTGACCACAACTCCACAGCTGCAACATCAGGATCTGTGGGATGGTACAAGAATTTGACCAACTACGAATCACTTATTTTGAAGAAAGAAATCGATAGGAAAAAAGTATTACACCAGGCTTCAATCCTCCAATCCTTAAATCCTCCACCTTGGGAGGATTTAATATTGCTAAATCCACCTTATAATATGATGCAATCATGGAGTTATGGTAATTAATATATAAATTTAAAGTTAGACTACAATTATCAATGAACAAGTTAGGAGGCCTTAGCTTCAGAGTTGATTTGCGCGAGTGGAATTTCTCGCGACTCGGTCCAAATTTTCGCCTAGTTGGGGAAAATTTACTAAATGGACTGCTTACAATAAGAAACAATAGACCTGAATTGGGGAATAGTCGATGACCTTCTGAAGAGGTACAAAAGAGGCAGAACAGGTAAGACTGATGGAGGGTCTAGTGAGGGTCGTCTCACAGCCTTATGAAGTGACTCAGGATATCAGCCACAAGTCCAGGAGTAAATGTGGATAGTGCAGTGTTACCATGCAGATCTTCAAGACAGTCCCAACGAAGTGAGGGAGTCGGCAAGTCGGTGACCAGTGACATTTGCGCAGGAAGTGCCAGTGTGAAAATGGTCAGTAAAATTGTTCACAAACTCTGAAAAAATGTATTGACAGGAAATATTACTCACTGATGCGGGAGTGCAGTGATTGATGAGTTCTGTCGAGCCGAGAAACTATTGGTCAGCAGACAGTTAGTGTTAAGTATTGGCCAACAAGTAGTGACAGTGGTTGTGTGGCTCTCGGCGCTAGTGTAGCTTATTAGTGTGTGAAGTCACTTTCCGACAGACACACGGGGAGGGAGGGGACGCGAGTTGGCAAGTAGAGCGACGAGCCTTTGTAACAGCCTACTTCTAAAAGACTGTTCGGGAAAGTACCTGGAAACGTGACCTGTGACACCTACGAGGAAGCCCAGTAGAGGACAGTTCAGCTGTGAGGAAGCTTGAATGTGAAGCTAATGAGTATCCACTGAGACTACTGGAAAATGGTGGTTTGAAGGGAGCACCCAACACCGGAGGATAACCGGTGAGGGAGTGACGTCATAGGAGACAGCAGCTGCAGCAGTGCAGAGACGCGGGCCAGGAGAAGCTCTTCGCCTCGGATGGTAAGTCAGCTGTTAATTAAAAATATGCACTTTTCTTGGTCGATGACGTTCGCTCAATGATTTATAAAACTCACATGTTGTGGGCCATGAGGTTAACCCCTCCCCCCCCCCCTTAATCGAAATAAAATTAAAAAAATCCATTTATTGTCCGATTATTATGGGACTTGTTTTAAAATGCGCGCCAACGTTTTCCCATTCTCTGTATTCCCCCACGAGTCATCACCCCGCCGTGTGGGTAGCCATCCAAGCGAGAGTCTCAGTATCTGTGACCATACTCGTGACCTCAGCACTGTACCTGTGTCTAAACGTGTGTAGTTTCCTGTTTTTCCTCAGTTTTTTCTGCCTTTATAAAGACTGAGAATTTACTGTTATGGCTAGTGATAAAAGAGCAAATCCATCTTGAAAAAAAAAATTATGGAATTTGCAAGATGAACTCTGGAAATTCTCACCAACAAAGTTTGACTGTACTTAATGAATTTTCAGGCTGTGACCTTGACACTGCAGAAAATGAGCGATACCTTTCCTTGCATTTACCTTGCGATGATTTCGGGGCTGAACGTCTGTGGCCCGGTCCTCGACCAGGCCTCCTCGTTGCAGGACTGGTCAATCAGGGTGTTGGACGTGACTGCTCGAAGTCTGATATACGAATCGCAGCTTGGTTGATCAGGTATCCTTTGGAGGTGCTTATCAAACTCTCGTGAACACCGCGAGGGGCCGGCT